GTTTTCACCAGGTTGTTTCAGACTTTAACATTCTACAAAGATACATTTGGAAAAAGGTAAGCATAGATATTTGCAATTATCTCTGTGCATGTGTGTGTGCTAGGTTTAAATACTTAAAGAAAGTTCAGTGGGGATGAGAACAAGGAAAAAAAAGACATTCATTTCATCTAATTATTCTTTTTCTTTCACTAACTTTATACAATAGCAGAAGAATTATTTTAATATGATAGTTATTTAAAGAACAGATACTCACAGGCCATGTTGATTACCTTAAGCTCTTCAGGCTAAGACATCTGATTACACTGCTCTGTAGAAGTCACATGTTTTTGCTACTTTGATCACACTACTCTGCAGAAGTCAAGTGTCATCACAGTTTCAAAAATATAACCTCAAATAGCAAAAGCTTGATCTCAAAAACCAGTTTAATCCAATCATGAAAATCATGAACAAAAGGCTGTTTAGAAACAGTTATTAAAATAATTTCTTTTTCACTTTGAGAAAGCAACTGTTGCAAAATTTCAGCACATCTGTGCCATAAATAACTCTTACTCAATTCTTTAAGTCTTTGTAATTTATATATTCACAGTTAACACTAGAGAGACCATTAATTCATCCGGTTCGTCCAAAGGCCAGGGAATTCCATGCAGTTACTCTTACACTAAATCCAATAGCATGTGCTGTGGGCTTACTCTTATCTCAGGAACAGTATCCTGACTTGCCTGGACAACATTAGGAGGCGGAGAACGTGCCCCTTTCTGGACTGATTCTTTCAGTGATTAATCTTTCGCAGTGTTCAATACAAATATCTTATTTCTAATTTGAATGTGTCTACCTTTATTTGGCAGCTTTCTGTTTTCACCCTCTGGAAGGCTCGCACAACCCAAAATGCATACAGTTTTAGGAAGAGAAGATGTCCATGACCTCTGCAGAACCATCAGTAAATCATAATTCCATCTGAAAACGCAATATTTTTAATGAGCAACAAGGGATTAGCTGATGTATCCATACATTTATTTTTATGAGACTGACCCTTGATCTAAAATCATGGTCTGTTCCATCACTGGCTTCTTTACATTCAGGCTTCAGAGTGCTGGGAAAGAGATATGATTCAGTTATTATTGCTACTGTCATTTTATATATGTTTGGATACTGGGGCACAGAGGTCTCTGCTTTGTAAATATTGATGTAAAATAAGATTTTTTTTTTTCATTAAAAATGAACAACACAGAGAAAGTGAAATAATACTGTCATTGGAAGTTGCTTTTACAGAGATGGAAAAAAAAAAAAGAAAAAAGAAAGAAATGAAAAATTAGTGTCACTCCTTTAATCTTTCTTGTAGGAGAGAGAAAAGAATCCAGGGATCCTGGAGTGTCACACAAAATCAGAGTTGTGCATCTCTCAGAATTAAGATCCTTCATCGAGTAACTGGTCCTTGTTGCATCTAATTCATTGTCAGGATTAGAGCCTGTGATACATGGCCAGTGGACGTGGGTACTTGAGAAAAGTGATGGAACAAATGCAGCATGACCAGGCACAGCTAATTCAGTGCAGGCATTTGTGATCCCACTAGGGAGAGCTCACGCACTGTATTCGCACCACAAAAAACTTGCAATATGCTCCTGCCTTCCTTTTCTTACACCAGCCTGCAGCATTACAGCAGATGCACGAAGCCTAAAGTGTGTGTATATAATGTTTAAAAAGGCAGAATACAACAGGAAATGGTTTGGATGTTTCTGCCTATATCCTTCTTTTTGTAATCAGGTTTCCCACTTTGTTCCTGAGGTGTTAGCTATGATAACAAAACCAGAACAGAGGCATCTGTTGCATATATACATATTTTTTTTCCACAGGTCTTGAAGAACAGATCACCACCCCACTCATCTCTGTTCCTTGTATACCCAACTCAGGTTGTGAACCAATTTTTCTGCACCTTGTTTCCTTATCTATAAAATAGGGATAACGATACTTCCTGCACCTGTATTCACTAGCTGGTTGGCAGAGCCTTCAAAGCAGGGGCCAGATGCGGCCTCACTTTCAATTGCAGCCCCCTGTTTTTACTGTATCCTGAGCAAGACGTTATCTGAAACATATTCTGAGCATAAAAAGAAAATATTAGGTATTGTTTGGGGAAGAGGTCATCTCTTTACAGTAAAGTTGGGCGTAAGAGAAAAGAGAGGGATCATTTTCTAATCTTGGAAAGTTGGCTCACATTAAAGTACAATTTCCATCTGGAAACAGACACTGATGTTTCTAACACAAGTACTTCTGTAGCAAGCTGCTATTCGCAGTAGAACTGTAAGGGTTGCTATAAACCACCAGAGGTTGCTGTTACCAAATTAAAACAAAACAAAAACAACAAACAAAAAAACAAACACCCACACAACAACCAACTAAACACTCAGATTCATTATAGGACAAGTAGATCTTCTTCCTTCCCACACAAGTCTCCCTCCCACTTTTTTGTGCACATCTTCCAGTCCTTACTGCCAGGTCAGTTTGGAAAGAAGAACAGAAGGACTAGGAAAATCAGGAATGTTTGGTCCTCTGACTTTTAACAAGTATGAAGAGAAAAGTTTCCCTTTCAGACTGAGGTCTTGTGGGGAAAAATATTGCCTGTATCCTTTGTTTCTTTTCTGTCTTCACACAGACCTTGGTCTTTCATTATGCTCTTGGCACAGTGACCATAGTCACAGGCCTGGGGAAGCAAAGCCACCAGAGCAGTGCTAAAGCAAACTCTGCCTTGGATCAGGCATTAACAACACTTCCCAAGGCACAAATCTGAAGGAGGTGTTGCCAGGATCCCAGGACTACTTCCATACAAGACCTCTGCAGCCCCAGCCCAATTTACAGCAGCCCCTGGGGTCTGCCATGCCTGAAGCAGCTGTAGCCTAGCAGTTTTGTAGTTTATAGCCTCCCTAAGCAGGTGTCAACACCTGTGAAGGTGAAGCAAGTAACCTCTGTCACCCAGAGATGAAGACGTGCATTGCCCCCCTGTGCCTGCCCTGGAGCACTGAGAGGATTTTTCAGTTACCTTGAAGGAGGGACCAGGACCTGCTAGTCTGATGTAGTGTTGGTGCCCTACTTACACTTTTATAAACCTATTCTCAGTAAGGGCTGGTCCTCGTCAAAGGTCTGTCTCTTGCCTGTTCTTCATTCATACAAATAGGAATGAAACCTCCATGTAACAGTTTTGATTTCTGATACTCAGCAAAGTCCTAGGTGGTTGTCTTTCCTTGTGAGAATGGTAATATTTGTAGCATTTATTGCTCACTGTTTCTAAAGGATTAGGTGAGGAGGTCCAAAGTGTCCTGTAGCACCTACAGGATTAAGAAACATTAGACTCAATCTTCCCCTGTACTCAGTGTGTCAACCCCTCTTACTTGTAGTCAGCCATTCTTACTTGATTACACATACTCAATTGGCAGATTCAGCAACCTTCTCACTAATGAAAATAGGTTAAACTTACTTGCAGAAACCAAAGAGAAACCCATGCTTGCAAGTATGAATCAAATATGAAACAAAAACAAAAACACAACAAAACACCAACAACCCCTCTGCTTTTCAGAGAGGAGGAAAGGAAAAGAGCCAGTGTAATGTGTGTCATGAGAAGTTATTCCTTCATCAAAGTAGAATATTAAGTGTTTGAAGTCCTCCTGAGTTCCTGCTGTCAAAACACAGGAGCTTCTAAGTGCTTCTTCCAACATGTCGTGGCTTCCTCATATTAGATTTTGTGGTACTGTCAGAACCCCGCTGGATAGTAAAGACTCACTTAAACTACATGTGATCAATTGCTACCAGCTCCTAAAAAGTTGCCATAGTTTCTACAGCTTGTTGTTCTTGACTAACAGTTGACAAATCCCTTTTACAATACCTCTTTCATTTCAGAGATACATGGTTCTGCATTAGATAAGGATGACAGCCTGCCCAGCACAATTAGTCAGAAGTATGCTTGCTCAGACTTACAGATGTTAGTCTGTTTATATTATTTTTACTCCTTTAAAATGTAACCACTCTTTAAAATGGAAATGCAATGAAATTACATCCATTCCTGTCCATTTGTCCTTTTCTTTTCTCCCCTTCTCTTCACTAGACTGTTTTTCTTCTGATCTTCTCATGATCAGAATTTCAAGGGAAGAAAGAGAGGAGGGAGGATGAGGAACATTTTCTTCTTTTTCAAGGCTCATCAATTTTATATGTTGCATAAAATGTAGTTTCTTTTGATTTAAAAATCTGGTGTCTGACACCTAAAAGAGAAATTACCTCCCCAAAAGAGAAAGCAAACAAAGAAAACAGATTCCCAAAAGATTACATACAAAAGCAAAGTACCCTGTAGGCATCCAGTGGAAAGAAGAGAAAATAAGTAGAAAGGGCTAACAGGCAGATCAGAACATTTTACATATGTTGTTTTATTGTGTATGGGAGGCATTTCTGTTAAAAATAAAAGGAGAAGGCATTCCACAAAGTGGAAAAAATAGTAATGGTTTACAATGGTAATGGAAATGAAAATCTGGCTTACATAACAAGGCTTAAGAGAGCCCGTTCCTGTCATATCTCAGAGAACAGCTTCCAGCCTTGTGTTGAAAAAGATAGAACTGAAGAGGTGAAAGTCTTTGCTTACAAGTTTCCTATTAATGGAAGGAGAAGACTGTTTTAATATTAAGAGTTACATGGGGGCTAAGAAATTGAAGTCTGCTTTAGAGTGATCTGCATGTATAAAAAGAAAATATATTTCTAAATATTGTTTGTTATCTGACTGTGGAGCTGATTCAACACCAAGCCCTGGGGAAGCTGTAATAGGTAGCAGAGCAGCTGAAGAGAAGCATCTTTGATCTGGGGAACTCATGGAGGGGAAGTGGCTCACATGGCCACATCAGCATTGCATTGATTTGGACTTTTCTGCTGTGCAGGATAATTGACACTACCCTGTGGCTAGATGGTCCTCAGCTGAAAGTAGTTTTCCAGGAGGAAAAAAAAAAAGAAAAAAAGAAAGGAAAGAAGAAAGAAAAAAAGAGGAGAAGAGAAGAGAAGAGAAGAGAAGAGAAGAGAAGAGAAGAGAAGAGAAGAGAAGAGAAGAGAAGAGAAGAGAAGAGAAGAGGACTGTAAGATGGCTAGTTATCATCAAGTACCAGGTGTTACCGCAAATTCTTGATGACCTTACTTTTTGTTTGAGAAAACATTTCAACAATATTTTCATAATTTATTTTATTAACTAATTAATTAATTTCTGTAAGTGCAGAAAATTGCACTTCTTGAACACCTGAAAGTTGAGCTCAAATTTTCGCGGGCTTCTGACTGTGGACTCGTGGCAGCACTTTGTTAGAAACCCCTTCTGAATTTGAACAAGACCTGGTTAAGTCTGCTACACACAGGGGAAGAGAGAATGCATATTGTTGGTAAGAAAAGGAGGAGGTTGCTGAGATTTTGCCTTTGTTTTTAGAGAAAAACAACTTTAAATCATTAAAAAATTAGAATGTCTGTATTTTTCCTCCCTTCAGTTTATCTTAGGCAGTCTGTTACACAGATAAAGCTCTTCATCCCAACTTACAGAACAATGTCTGTTTTAATGTCCTGGCCATGGATTGCATAGAAGAGCTTTCCAACAACACTGCTTCAGGATCAGAACGAATGTTATGAATATTAACCTAGAAGGACATTTTCAAAAGCTGCTATCAGATGAAAGCTATCAGTCAACAGAACTATGAACACAATGTCTTAAGAAGCTATTTTCTCTCAGAACTTCTACCTCTAAAGTGCTTTGGAAACTCCTCTCCCAGTGCGTAAAACACATTTTCAAAATAAGTTGGCCATGTGACAGGGAGAACCACCTGGTGCTCTCTCTACTTACAGGAATAAAAAGGAGTTGCTTAAGTCTCTGGTTTTATGGAGGTGAAATGTTCTGTGGTTTTGGAGAAGAATAAGAACAAGTTTTATGACTGATAACCTTTATTATATTTTGTTTTGTTTAATATGAATCATGGAAGCCTTCGTTAACTGGAACCAATTTTCTCTATGTCAGAATGAAGCAAGCCTGATAAATGCAAATTTCCTCATACTGATCTCTCCAGATGACTCCCTTTAGTGGTGCAAAGTTAATCCATCTGCTTCTGTTTCAGTCTTGAGCACAACACAACTGTCACAATATTTTTCAAGAGGCACCTCTGACAGAAGCTGACCTCACATAATGAGTTACTTTCAAATAACCATGTAAGTCATAATGGTCGTAAACTTCCAGTTAACACTAGGAAGCATGTATAGCAGAGCCAAAGATGGGAACATCTCTAATGCTTACCACTGCTGGGCTTGAGGAGGAAATTCTTTTGTACATATCCATCTTTTAACATGCCTGGACTTGAGTGAAAATTACATGATATGTTTCCATACAGAGCTGGTATCTGATAAGCAAGGTGGAACTCAAACATGTGGGGTGAATGGCAGAATGTGCTGAAGTTCCTGTATTGGCCACACTCTGTGTTACAAGAAAAGAACTCACAAAATGTGTAATGACACATGCATTACCAGATTTTGATCTGAAAATCATCACTAGTTTATGATCTGGCATAAAGTTCCACTACAGCTTTCGGTCTCTCTGAATATTCCTTGAAATCCTCGTACTATTGCACAAGTTTGCATACTTATAGCAATTATTTTTATAGAGCTAATTTAGAGAATTCTTATTTTATGCAGTCAGATCCAAAGAATTTTAAACCTTCCTGTGGTCAGCATAATTCTATGGAACTACAGCTAATAGATATTTTTTTTTTTCCTCTGTTTAATTTGGACACTAACTAACAAATATGAATATTCATTTGTATTACTATAAAAAAGGTAGAATGTCTGTTCTACATATACTCAGTAGAGATAACATGTCTATCTCTAAGATTTATTTTTTTCCCCTTGATCATATCTACTGCTTCACAGTGCAAGTAAATGGAAAAAAAATAATTCATTGGGAGATGCGGACTCAGATTTTAGAGCACAGTTTGGAAGAAAGAAAAGATATTTGATCAAAATAGCAATCTCTGAATGTAAAACCAAAATTAAAGCTGGCACACTCAGCAGACCTGAGACAAATAAAGAGCTGGCAGAAGTGCACTCAGCTGCTGGTTCACACTGATAGAGTATGGTGTTCTCACCCTGTTTCAATTTCCTCACCTCTTGGACAGTCTAGTTCTCTGTCATTTCACAGGTGCTGTCTTTGCTTCTTGCAAGAATCAAAGATCCCTGTCCCTACTTGTCACACGCCAGTTGACTCCAAGTAACGTTTCGCTCTGCACATCTGTGGATATGTGTTGCATTGCTATGTGCAGTTAATGTAGGCCACGGGAACACTTTTCTGAGTAGAGTACATTTTGTTCTCGTATATGAGAAGTAGAGTTTGTCTTGATCTGGCCTGTACTTTCAAAGTATTTCAGTGCGTTGCTTTGCCATAATCCCCATAAAATTATACAGACCAAGGTAGAACAATTTATTTTAATTGGTAGCTCAGCCCATTGACTTAAAAAGGGAATTTAGAGATTGAACTTGAATTTGGAAAAAATACAAGTGAAAATATCACTGCATCTTAGATAAAGGCAGGGCAAGCAACTAAACAGAAATTTTCCTGCCAGGTGATCTCAGAAATGTAATCTCTGCCTCTGTTTCTTCAGTCAGTAATGAGGAAATCCCCTTTTCCAGCACTGGAAGATTTGCAAGGAAAGCTTTATTAGTGTAAAATATATCAATCTGTTTTCATATAATATTTTTCATTCACAGTGTTAGACAGCAGAATGTCATTTGACGTTGTGATGGGGACTGGTTTTAAGAATCTCAGATGTCATCCTTTGCAAATTGGCAAATAAACATAAGGTACGAGTTTTTTCCAGTCATCTTCTAAATCAGATTATAGTTTACTCTGAGTGGGCATAAAGTACTAAATTACATTGTATTTCTGTTCTTTCCCAAACAGAGTATGTATTTGATAACAGGAATCTATGCAAAAGTGAGAAATCTCTAAGCAGTGAAAACACCACTGGTTTTGGTAATATTTATACTAGGGAGATTTTGTGAATAAACTCCTCTGTGTCTGGTTAATCATAGTCAGAGAATATTTTATTTTATTTTATTTTATTTTATTTTATTTTATTTTATTTTATTTTATTTTATTTTATTTTATTTTATTTTATTTTATTTTATTTTATTTTTAACGAAGTACCTATCTGACACATCTTCTGCAAATTAAGGATTTTCTAGACTTGAGCAGCATTCCAATCTTTTTGTGATTGCCATTTCCCAGATCTTTGTGCTGTGATTATGGAATGGCATGGCTTTTTCTTGTGTTCAGTGTTGACTCTGCCAAAGAACAGAAACAGGTGATAAACTGTTTAGGGTAAGTATTTAGTGCTTTAAAGTATCATCTTTGTTACAGAAATTCACAGTCCTTTGCTCCCTGCACCTCCTTGTCTGATATGGGGATCTGGAGAAAGTCATTTACTAAAAAAAGTAAAACAAAACAGATAAACAAAAAAAGTAAGCCAAGAGAACCCCATTGCTATGCTTGAATTTCCACTTTCTTAGTATCATGCCCTGATTCCTAGAAACAAAGTTTCCTTGCAGACTAGTATACATGTATACTGTGCATATAATTAATTGCATACAGGAATTTTACAAGCGTAAATCCTAAGCACAATTTAAATTCTGCACAACGTCAATTCCCTTTGCCTGTTCTGGCAATAAATACACATATGCTTTGCTGTTTTCCTTCAAGGCCTGAAGGCAGCCTGAATGGACTACTCAGAGATGACCAAGGGAAAAACATGTAGAAAAAAGAGGGAAAATGGTAGGTCTTTGTCTGTGGAAGGAGTAAAATTAGAAGCCAAAACGCATGTTTACAGGTCACCAATCTCCACACCTATTTATTAACCTTTTTCTTGGTTGCAGGGATATGGTCTCAAGATGAAGACGTGGGGGATCACACGCTTCGAGAACTTGGTTACAATCTGAAGTAAGGAAATGTTGCTCCTTGGGGGCCTGGCTGACAAATAAACACACAACCTTGAAACATAATATTCAGTCAACGAACAGCAGCAAATAAATTGTGACATACCAGGCACTGTAATGCCCTATAATAGGGATTATTACAGGGATTCATACATTATTATAAATAGGGATTTTTTTATTATGTAAACTTAATAGAAAATTTAATTGCAAAATATCTATCACTATGAAAATTTTCTAAAGAAACACTGGTTTGCTTCTCTTAAATGAAAGAAGAATATTTTTTTCATGTAATAATTTGTCTTCTGTTCCCCTCTTCTCTTCTTACATTTGTTTCCAGAACTGTGCATTGGCTATTTTGCATGCTTTCCTTTATTCAGGCATGAAGCCTTACATGATAGTAAATTGTTTTGCTAGATTAATATTCTGTCAAGTAGATTTGGTATGATTTGAATTTTAAAGCAATTCACATTATTGCATATTTATGCTTAAGGAACTATAACAAAATAAAACTTACACTTCTGAAATTGAAAGTTGTTAAAATCAAGCTCTGTTGATTTTGGGTTTGGCTGTCCACATATTTTATTAATTTCTACACATTAAATGCAGTGTTTTTTTTTTTCTCAATATTTATACCTGGCTTTGAATAATAACCCTGACTAGTGTTTAATAAACGTGAGTGAAAAACAACCTCTTGATGACAAAAAAAAAACAACGTTTCACGAAGAATTTTTCATATGGGCAATAGTTCGCAGTACCAAGACTCTAAGCCTTGGCTTTGGCTAAATGTATTATCACACCTTGAGTGAATTTCAGTGGAATAAACCATAAATAAAGAGAACCGATATTTCACATAAGATAGATTTCTGGTATTGCTGTTTTGGGGAGACAGGTACCATTCCTGAAAGAATCTGTATGCTAAACTGCATTTAAAATTTCTTAAAGAGAAAATTCATAGGTAAACATATATTTGATGAACATGGCAAGTTAAAGCTTAACACTTTCATAATTGCTTTCCACTGCTACTCTACAATTACTCTTCCAGGAAGAAAATTGTGTAGAAGAGGAAATACACAACCAGTTTCATGTAATTATAAGTAAAATTTATTTACAGTTATTGTGAAAATAAGCCAAATGATTACCAACTCTTGATCAACCCACCCTCTTTCTACTGAAACCAAGCATGTGTAATAAGACAGTGTGCAAAATAAAAGAAAAATATAAGCATGTATCCTTGACTTTTTATTTTTTATGTTAAGATCAACTGTGAAGCTTAGATAATATCATAAGGAGCCTGGAGCAGCTCAAAAGAAAGATGTAGAAGAAAATGCACAGGCAGATTTTTGTTAGCTCTGACATGATCTGGAATAAGAAGCAGTATGTAATTTCATTGCCTTGAAGAGAAAAATGTCTGTTGCCTTCTCTGCTTTTGCTCAGATGAGTTCTGCTAGCAGGCTAGGATAGGAAGGGTGAGGGACTAAAGCTACTTCTTGGTCTCTTCTGTCTAGTTTTCTCCACTGTCAAGGGAAGACATATTACCCGTGGAAGAGAAGAAATGTTGGCCACTTACAATGTAGAGTGCTCATACTTGAAGTAATGCCTGCAAATTAATTAAACAAGATGACTTCATTAGGTTTTACTACAGAAGTATTTTTGTTAAATGAAGACACTTTATTGTGACGGCTTTTTACTTGTGATCTTACAGATCACGAGGTTGAAACTCAAAGTCCTGTCTTACCTGTTTGGTTTCATTCTTCAAACTTCAGCCTTCTGGAGACTGGTGCATGTATGACAGTCACAGTTTTTATAGTATGTAAAAATAAAGGTTAGTTAGTTGTGAGATGAAATAAAAAAGAAGCATGACTGCATCTTGCAGCTTCAGAAATCATGACAAACACAAAGAATTCAAATGGCTTTTTTGAAGCAATGCTTGTTTTCTAGGTATCTCAGGAAACAACATTCCTGATTCACGATATCTTAACACTTGGAGGGTTGCAATGTTTTTTGATTACTCCACCTTGGTAAACTCAGAAGAATGCTCATCTGGAATCTGTAGACATTAGCATCATGACTGTGATAATAAAAAACTCCCAGCCAAACCTGAACTTGTGTTCAATTTGCTGCTCCAGCTGAATACAAGTCTATTGGGCTTGATGGCATTCATCCCAAAGTACTTGCAGAGTTGGCTGATGTCATTGCAAGACCTCTCTCAATTATTTTTGAATTAACAACAACAACAAAAAAAAAGCAAAAAACAAACCCCAACATTTCTGGGGATGTGAAGAAGTCTCCATTGAATGGAAGCTGGCAAATATTGTTCCAGATTTTAAGAAGGGTAAGAAAGAAGACCCTGGCCTGTCAGTCTCACTTCAGTGCCTAGTAAAATCATGGAGAAAATTATTCAGGGAGTTATTGAAAAACACTTGAAAGACAATGAGGTCATTGGTCACAGCCAAGACAGGTTCACGAGGGGAAGGTGCTGCTTAACAAACTTTATTTCATTTTATGACAAGGTTACCCGTCTAGTTGGCCAAGTGAAGCCTATTGATGTAATCTTCTTTGATTTCAGAAAAACTTTTGATACTGTTTCTCACAGGATCCTTCTGGACAAAATGTCCAGCATACAGCTAGATAAAAACATAATACAATGAATGAATAACTGACTGACAGGTCAAGCTCAAAGGGTTATAGTAAATGGGGTTGCATGAGGCTGGTGGCCAGTCACTAGTGGGGTTCCCCAGGGCTCCCTTTTAGGGCTAGTTCTCTTCAATGTTTTCATAAATTACTTGGACATAGGACTAAAATGTGTTTTGAGTAAGTTTGCTGGTTTGCTGATGGTACTAAATTGGGAGGAGCTGTTGACTCTGTCAAGGGTGGAGAGGCTGTACAGAAAGATCTTGACAAATTAGAGGGCTGGGCAATCTGCAACCACATGCAGCTTAACAAGAGCAAGCACTGGATTCTGAACCTGGTATGAGACAACCCTGCCTGTACATACAGACTGGCAGATGAGAGGCTGGAGAGCAGCCCAGCAGAAAGCTGTTTGGGGGCTCTGATGGCAAGTTGAACATGAGCCAGCAGTGTGCCCTGGCAGACAGAAAGGCCAATCATATCCTGGGGAGCATCAGGCACAGCACTGCCAGCTGGTTGAGGGAAGAGATTGTCCAGCTCTGCTCTGCACTGGTGCAGCCTCACATTGAACACTGTGTGCAGCTTTGGATACCACAATATAAAGAGGACATAAAACTATCAGAGACAACAGGAGGTCAACAAAGATGGTCAAGGGTGTACAGAGCAAGACATACGAAGAGTGGCTGAGGTGCCTTGGTTTGTTCAGCCCAGAGCAGAGCAGGCTGAGGGGAGGCCTCATGGCGGCCTGCAGCTCCCTCACGAGGGGAGCGGAGGGGCAGGCGCTGAGCTCTGCTCTCTGGGGACAGCGACAGGACCCGAGGGAATGGCATGGAGCTGGGACAGGGGAGGGTTAGGCTGGGGATTAGGGAAAGGTTCTGCACCCAGAGGGGGGTCAGGCACCGGGACAGGCTGCCCAGGGCAGTGGTCATGGCACCGAGCCTGCCAGAGTTCAAGAAGCATTTGGACAATGCTGTCAGACATATGATCTGATTTTCAGGTGGTCCTGTGTGGAGACAGGAGTTGGACTCAGTGATCCTTGTGAGTCCCTTCTGACTTGGGTCGGGATATTCTATGATTCTATTTGGACCACACCAGAGAGCGTTGAAAGTCTTCCAACTTCTCTGTAACTCCTGACATTCATACCAAGATTACCACTAGCTCACAACAGTTATTTCTCAAAGCTGAAAAGTTGGTTTTCTCTCTGGTTACGAATATTTTCCAGAGGAGGGAGGGAAATTCAGATATCATGCCACTATGTGGTTTTGTGTGCTCAAATCCAAAGTTACCATGTGTCACAGGATGTTGCTGAGTCTCCCCTGAACTGGGAAGTGAGTTCCAGTCACTGCTGTGTTTTCTGTGGAACCTGTAAATGAACCTAGTTGTATCTGAACTGGGACCTGAGCTTAGGGCACCAGAAAAGCAGTGTGACTGCCACAACCTATTTTCTTCACTCTTCATATTTTTTGCCAGTACCCAACTTTTTTTTCTATGTGTTCCTTTTTTTTTATACAATGTCTCAAAGCCTTAACTGGTGTAGTTGTGCCATGTTAATGTATGCATTTTTGATATATATATATATATATATTTTTTTTTCTAAAGCAAGGTAGACTTTATTTAGCTTTAAGTGTCCTTCTAATGTAACTACATTAGGATTCCTACAGCTTTTCAATGCTCTGAAATCTTTGCTTCTTGCTCCAGAGCATAAGGTAAATGGCTTTGGTAAACTCATTGTCACTCATAAACATCATCTTCCTCCTCCAAAACCACAACTTTCTGGATGGTTTTTACTCAGATCACAAACACACAAATTGTTCAGCAGCAGTCAATTAAATACCATGGTAACCTGCTGATTTTAATTATTCTTCCCTGTGCCCTAGCAGCTGTGAAACACATAGTGACAAGCCAAATGTAATTTAAATACTCTGTGGTGCCCCAGATGTGGCAGTACTTTGCCAGGTGTTTATTTTTAATGTATAGCTCAACATATTACCCTATTAACTCTTTTTTTTTTTTTTTTTTTTTTTTTTTTCCCCAGAAACAAACAAACAAACAAACAAACAAAAACAAACACACAAACAAACACTGAAAATTTAGATTTTCTTCCATAAATGCTTTAATACCGCATTATAAATATGATCCTTCAATTTCGGTAATGGAGGACAGCTTTCTACTTCTGCTGCAGTGCTAAATATTTATTATGGACATTATTGCTACTACTTTGAACCAAGGCCACATCACACATAAGTTCATCCAAAAGTAACTGAAGTGTAGGGAAGATTTTATGGGTGTTGTCCTTGATTTCTGTGAGAACAGATATGTCCTTAAGTTAGCTGTACATCATGTTACACCTATGTACCACACTTACACACACTTTCCCTGGTCATCTGCAGATACAAACAATGTTGAGCTTTGTCTTTTTGTCTTTTTCTATAGTGAGCCACTTAGAAGAATTCCACATTTTATCATTTTATTTTATATATATATTTTTTAACTGGGATTTAGAGATCCTTTTTCTAAAAACAATGAAAATGAGTTGCCAGCTTTGCTATGTTTTAAAGTGGTTTCCTACACCTTATCCTACTGCATACAAAGATCTGGCAGTCCAGTATCTTACACCAAAACAAAAAACAAACAAAACTAAAGAAAAAAAAAAAAAAACACAAAGAAACATCTGTACTTTAAAATATTCTGTAAAAAAGGAAACACATTGACTTAGATGTCAGAACAGTAAAAAATAAAGGGCAGTTATTATGTTGAATTATGTTGATCTTTGCTATTCTTGCATGAAATACTAGACTTTTCATGACATTGGCAGAAAATGGCCTTCTTGTGAACACATGTTTAAAATGGGAAGAGTGAGCATTCACAGGATTTATTGATAGGGCCAAACAACTTATGCAAAGATTTCTGGAAGCTATGTTCCAGCATGGCTAAAAGAACCTTTATTTGCAATGTATGCATCTATGAAACAAAGTGGTGTTGTCTTTTTTTTTTTTTTTAATATATTTATTTATTTATTTTTTGGACAATTAGCATGCATATATAAAGCTTCTTTGCCCTGTTGCCACTTTATCTTCTAAAGGAACAAAATCCTGAGTGTAAGGGACATCTAACACTGAAGATTTGCTGTAGCCACTTGAGGGCTCCCAACAATAATTGGATGGAATCAAATGTGTCATAGATGATTTGTAGCTACGTTTCCTACGGAAAGGATATCTCCTGAACTCTTCTTTTAAGACAGATCCTGTGAAGCCAGCTATTCCCAAAGAAAAGGTACTCTGTGTCCCAGAACAGGTGACTCAGGACCAGAGCTTATTATTCCAATCAAATGGGAACAAAGCGCTAAATCTCTTTCTCTCTCTCTCTTTTTTTTTTTTTTTTCTTCTTCCCCTTATTGGAGCTGAGCTTTAGATGGTCTTCACTTTCCTATCTTTGCTTTTGATCTTCCAGATGGAAAGCTTTAGAATTTAATATTTTTCTTTCAGGCCTGGAAATATTAACTGTTGGGTCTTCAGTTTATCAGGTTTTTGTTTCATGGCGCATCACTGCAACACTGAGAAATAAACATATTTGGCTGAAAATGGCTGAAAGGATGACCCAGAAGAACCTGTGCTCACAGCTGTCACTGGAGAGCAAATAGCAGGAGAAGTTTGGCAGAAATTGAGATCAAACAAGCTCCAAGATAAACAAGCTCTGTAAAATACTGAAGTACCACAAAGCTTCCTCACATTGCACTTGAGATAATTTCCAACAAGCCACAGCAGGTCTAATCTGACCCTTTCCCGTACTCTTCCATGGACTGAATGACCACCCTGGATTACAAACAACCTCCAAACCTGTTGAAGTTTCTCAGCATGGAGCAGAAGCCGATTGAGGATAAGGTAAGTCCTGAGAAATGGTCTTTGCAACGTGTCTTCAGTTTGAAAGCCATTCCCACTTGCTATTGAACCTACTTTCCCCTCAAAATTTGCTTTGACAATATTTATTCCTATTTAGAGCTTCATATTTTCCCCTTTATTTTGTTATTTTAAGGTGGAGATCTAAGTTTAGGTAATGTAATTGTTAGTTTTAAAATTAGAGGGGCCATATAGTCTAGTTTCCTGTAGAGATCAAAGACTGGTAATTTAGCTGGTCTCAGCCATGCCTAGCTACATTGAGCAGTTCTCTTTGGTTTTCACAGTGGCAGTATGACACGAAGAGTCTTTCTGAAGCAAACAAATAAACAGTATGCCCCGGACTTTCAGTTTAATCTATTACTTTAAAATCTGAAGTTAATTCAATATAAAGGAGTAATATAATTGTTTTTGACACCTTCTAAACTATCTTTTTAATTTTAAAATATATTTATTTTGGAACTAAAAATGAAGAGTAAATAAAGAGTAAAACAGATACCTTCCCACTTAACTACCAGTACTCCAAGAATATGAAAATTTGGAAGCCTCTGCTCTATGTGCAGAAACCACAACAAAACATTATAGATTAAATTTCTGATTATAAAATAACAACATCTGCATGAGTCTTGCCCAAGGTGCAGATGTTCTGATCACCTATGTTTTGCGTAATTTTAATTGAAGTTGTGTTTTCTGTTAATGCATTTTTACTGTATTTTTTTTTTTTTTAACAAAAGCAATCCACTCAGACAGAGAAATAAACAAAAACAAATAGACAGAAAAGCTTTCTAAGGAGTTTGAAAAGCCTAAATTGAAAACAAGGCCAGAAGAAAAAGAAAATTGTTTCATCTTTATTTCTTGTTCAGAAAGCTCAACTGCATTCCAATGAAATCAAAGGATTATGAACTCCATGAGTCTCTGTAAGGTGAGTGAGAACACAAAATAACTCTGCCTACTCAGCTAGCTATCTGCTGTGAGTATGTGTGTCAAAAAACCACTGTCATCCTTCAGAAGTACCATATTCATCCCTGCCAAATTCCAGTTGCAGAGACTGTAAACCAATGATTACAGTGGAATCTTCCTCATATTTTTATGTTATATCCCTAGTCAAAATCCTAAAAATTTGTCAGAATTAATGCAAAATTCTTGGGATTATTCACATATTTCTGTGGTGTTTCTGTGACAGACACTGGAGAAAAAAGGATCATTTTCTGAGTGGTCATACAATTAGGGTAGTTCTGCCATGTGAAGGAATTGATTATTACCTCTGAGGAACTGGTGCTTGCTTATCAACTTGAATTGTCTGAAGGTCTTTCACCAATGCTTGTCATTTTACCATGGGAGTGATGTTAGCATGCTATCAGATCGCAATCACACAAGCAGAATGGAAGGATGTGTTAGTTGGGGTTAAACCAACTATATTGTTCTTTAGCCTGAACTGCATCATATGCTACTTACACAGATTGTTTCTGTGCCATAGCCTCCAGGACTCTTGGTTCCAGGATACCTGTGGGTAAAGGTAGCCAGAGGATTGCTAAGCCTATTTACGTTTGATCAATAAGCAGTAAAACCTACCTCCACGCATGCACATGAGTTACTTCTGAAAGACGCTGCTGAAGGGGCTTGCTGACCCTTTCTGTCATACACTTAACCTTGGACTTTCCTTTTATAGGCCTAGACAGACAAGTGTGTGGTTAAACATTTGAAGGCATGACTGACTTGTCATCATCCCAGCCAACGATGTCTTCTTATGGGTTACTGCTTCAACAAAATAAATGGGTAGTACTCTAATTACAGCACACTAAGAAGCATCTAGTTATGCAAAATGTAAAGAACTTATGAGACTAGGAAGATGGAGGGGTAATGGAAATTATACCAGGTTCATAGCTATGTTCTTACTAAGCTTCCATCTTTAATGAACATTTAATTATTTTAGGATTAAAATTACTGTATGAAAAAACACGGAATCATTATATTTCCTTGACATTAGTTACATGTAGTGTTCAAGCAGTTTTATGACAGGAAAGAGCAGTAGACATGCACCAGAAGTCTTGGTTTCTGGAACATCACGGAATTTGTCACAGAATGAAAACAAGGATAATCAGGGATTTGCCACAGATTCTCACACAAAAGATGATGGCTAATTTTATTGAAATTGTGATTTGAAAACTGCATTCATCCACTCAAACAGTTGTCATATCTGACTACTACCAAAAACACTAAAGACCCACAGTACTGGAGTATGCATACAGTGCAGATTCCCTACTTCACAGGCTCAAGCCATCCACATACCTGATTCAATCTGCCTGTAAAAACAGAAGCCATGCTAACACATAATGTGTGAGTTTCTTTATTAACTTTGATACTGGCATCCAGTATGTACTTGCATGTAGGGGTGCACCCCATGAATTTCAGCAGTGCCATTGCTTGTACTCCTTTGTCAGGGCTTTCTGAAGAAGCTGTGGGAGGACTTAGTCCTTCCAGGATACATATGCACTCAGAGCAAAGGCACGTACAGAAAAGCACCATTAAAATTATCACTTGGCCCATGACCAAAAACATCACATTAACAGCTTTTGAATTAAGGCCAGCCAAGTTTTGTCAAATAATCCCTCTTAGGCCACAGTTAGTGTGTATAGCTGAGAGGTAACTCTGGTTAACTCCAGCTATAAAATGTCTCTGTGGGCAATAAGGTTGTTATGTCAGGCACACCAGACCATCACACAAATGCAGTCTCTGCTCTAGAGGTCTCTAAGGTGTGTGCATGAGCACTCTCTATTACAAGGAATCTAAGCTCTTCCACTGCTCATTTTACAGAATATTTTCAGTGCAAAGACTTGTGTATTTAGCATCATCACCTCAGATGACCAAAAGTTCAGAGTAACGCCCCAGGGTGGCTGAATACATTTAAAAGGGAGAATGCCTTGATATTGCACTCTTTCCTTGATATTGCATCCTCTCTCCCTCTCTCCCTCCTTCCCTCCTTCTCTCTTTCTCTGTCAAAAATATTGGAAGCAGAGGTTTCTGTTTCATTCGTAGTCTCCAAGGCTATCACCATTTCCTGTTGAATGTACAAAGATTCAGCTTAAAGACCTGACCTGCCAATACTAATTCAAACTAGCCCAGGAAATAGTAATTTAGGAAAATTAGCTCAAGAATTATGACATTATTCTTCCATTTTGTGGTGGTTTTACTTGGGTGGGCAGCTGAACTCCACCTCAGCTGTTCTTTCACTTGCCCTCCTCAAAGGGAAAGGAGGAGAAAATATGAAGAAAAGGGGCAAGGGTTGAGATAAGGACAGGGAGAGATTACTCAACAATTATTGTAACAAACAAAAAATGACCCAGAGTAGGGAGATAGTAAGATTTATTGCTTATTACTAACAAGCTAGAGAAGTGAGAAACAAAGGAAAGAAACCAAAAACACCTTCCTCTATTCACCCTCTTCCCACCTCTTCCCCCAGGCAGCACAGGGGAATGGAGAATGGGGGCTGCGGTCAGTCTATAGCACTTTGTCTCCACCGCTCCTTCATGGTCCCTCTCTGCCCCTGCTCCACGTGGGGTCCCTCCCATGGATGCCGTCCTGCCCGAACTGAGCCTGCGGGGGCTGCCCACAGGCAGCAGCTCTCCAAGCACTGCTCCCACACGGCTCCGTCCCACGGGGTCCATCCATCCATCCCCCAGGAGCAAACTGCTCCAGCACGGGTCCCCCACGGGTGGGGGCAGCTCCCCCCAGACCCCCTGCTCCACGTGGGCTCCTCTCCACGGGCTGCAGCTCCGGCCCGGGGCCTGCTCCTGCGGGGGCTCTCCATGGGCCGCAGCCTCCTCCAGGCCACATCCACCTGCTCCAGCGGGGGCTCCTCCACCCATGGGGGGGCTGCAGCGTGGAGATCTGCTCCATGGGGGACCCATGGGCTGCAGGGGGACAGCCTGCTCCACCAGGGGCCTCTCCCTGCACAGCCCGCAGGGGAACTGCTGCTGCCTGCCTGCCTGCAGCACCTCCTGCCCTCCTGCGGCACTCACCTGGGGGCTGCAGGGCTGCTTTGCACCAGCTTTTTCCCAGCTGCTGTTCCCCCCCCCCCCTCCCCCCCCCCCTTTTTTTTTCCCTTTCTTAAATCATCTCTTACAGAGGTGCAAACAATATCACTTATTAGATTATTGGATTGTCTCTGGCCAGTGGCAGGACCGTTATCTAACATGGGGCAGCCACCCCTATGGCCCCCTGCTACCAAAGCCTTGCCACGTAAACCCACTACACGTTTTAGAGACGCCTTTTGAGTGTTTGCGGTTGCCCCACCTGGAAACCACTGACATGAGATTGCCCTTTTCTGGAGACATCAGCTAAGTTAGGGTTAGCAAGTACAGTGCTTTGTGTTATTATTATTATTGGGTGTGCAGAAAAAGAAATCCTGTAGGAGAAAAAAAATACTAAGTAGATTACTTTTTACTTAATTTAAAGTTTTGTAAAAATGCAAAAATAATTATTCAGACAATTTTTGCAAAAGTAGAAAAACAGCATGTGGGGTGTTTTCAAGTTGTTTTCATTTACTGCAGTGTCATTGCTTTTTTTGTTTTGAGAAAACTTGAAATATTCAAATGTAGTGGCTGTCAATACTATTACCTGTACTTCTGCAGCCAAAGGCCATCCTCTTTCCTGTTCAAAACCTCTCTCAAGGAGAGGAATTGCGCAAGCACAGTGTAATAAAAAATGTTTAATTACATTTTTTTTTTTTTTTTTTTTTGGGTAGGGCTTCCCCCATTTTCCGACAGTGAATTATTTTGCAAGTGATCTATTTGTAGTTTCAATGTCAGTGCAGTCACAAGTCCCTCCTTACAATATTGCTCACTGTAGTTTACTGCCACGTTTATAATCTTTAAATGATTTATTAGTAGTTGAAGGAATGAAGTACAATACTACAAACAATATCCTGTAGTAGCTATGATTTAATACTAGATGACAGCATATCAAGATTTCAGCAAGTTTTGTATGTTTCTCTCTTAAAGCAGGCTTTGTTTCATTCCCACAGTTTTCTTCTGAAATCTTTGCAATCCAGAAGGTGGCTTAGGGTATGCACTTACCAAAGCCAAGTTCAGTTTTGTTTAGATGATTCTCTGGAAAGATATCCTGCAAAAGCCACTAGCAGGTGCACTTACTGAAGTAATATACAGCTGACTTTGTTATGATTAACTTTCAGTCTTAGTGAAACTTCTTTTGAATTCTACAGGAGCTGCATCTTGTCCACAAAATTCTGCACAGAGGAATGTTACAGGTATGCTTCTCTGAGAGAGGAGATGACCATCAGAGCAAGCATGAATCTGAAGAAGGATAGTGAAATCAGAGGAGGCTTGCAAAATGTGGCATTTGTTTGCCAAAATCACAAACTAAAACATATGTTGGCTGATACTTGATGTTTCTGCCTGCTAACAGAACCAAATGTCCAACCGAGTGGCCAACCCTCAGATTTGTTAGGGATGAACATACAGCAGGACATTGATCTCAATATTGTTAACTGTTAAGAACAGTGAAGTGTAGTCATTTCCAAAGGAGGTAACTTCTCAAGAAATAAGCAGATGTTTTTTATTGCACGGTTCTGCTAGCCACACTAGGGTTTTTCAGATTGGATTCTGCAATGGGCCCTGCTCCCATTTGGGTCCCAGAGCTGTATGGTCAGGCCTTCAACAGAGCTTAGACGCTAAGTTGTTTTAGAAATCTGTCCAAAAATGTGTTATAATGCTAGGGGTGGAACCAAGAACAGAAGAAAAAAAGAGAAACCATTAAACTTTTTAAGTGCTTTAGTCACATGTGCACTTGCTAAAAATGAGGTTGGTGCAGAGTACTTTAAGGTCTGCCCACAGGGCTTATTTAAAATAGTAATTGAAAGTAGCAAGGATTTATGTGGAACTGAGACAGTTGACTATTTGAGATTTTGACTAAGACACTGACATTGAAAAATATTAATGTTAGCTGAAGAACAAGAAGCCAAGGACATATTGGCAAAGAAAGGGACAGAAAGAAATTCAGTTTTGCCGTGTCAGGGTATTATTTGTTTAATTTCAGATTAGTTAATACTTTTCAGTTTTGCTTTTCTCTTCTTTTCATCAAATATTGAATCAGCTTGCATGCATCTGACTATCCCAAGAGTATTTATGCTTAGATTTACAATGTATTACACAGAAAAACCCCAGTTATTATCAAAGGAACCTATAAGCTCTGCTGAGCAGAATTTTTCCTTTTTACTCTAGGATGAAATTAGCATAGAAATGACTGAAATCCATGCAGTGAATGTTTGTTTGAACATGTAATTTAGTAGAGCGGAATATACTACATAATTAGAGATTTGTTTTAAAGAACTTCGGAGATTTAGTTTCTATGCTGTGTAGTAAATATTTATGCACTATTCTGCTAAGATACAAAAGGAAAAAAGTCTACCTTTTTATAGCAGTAACCATAGTGATACACAGAATAATGATACAACAAGGGACATAATAAGCATATATTCTTTGAACAGTGCCCATATATTTTCCAGATTCTGTTACCGTATTAAACTATCAAATATTTAAGTGGCCATCAGAGAGAAGGAATAAAAACCAAAAATCAAAAACTCAAACCAAACCGAAACAAAAAAAGCTGTTTCTCATTCAGGCTAAAGTCCACATTACTTTACTTGTTTATCCATCATTTTACTGGGTAAGTTCCTCTGAAAGAAACTGTCAAACGAATTTGCAACCAGAATGATTTTTCTCTTAGCGGATGTCTCTTTTCCTTCGTTATTAGTCATTCAGAAATTAAGTAATAGTGGGAATAATGGAAGAAGCATCTCTGCTTACCTTAGCTTTATGCTGTACTGTTGTGCTGTCATTACCACTTGACAGGGGAGCAGAAACCTCAGTGGTAATTCTGACATATTACCACAGAACACATTTCTATACCTACTGTCTTACCTTCCAAGATAATGCCCAGGTTCCCTTGATAGCGTGGATCCTTTGAATGTGATCATCTGCGTTGGAAATTTCTTAAGGTGGCCAAGAAGAAACAATGAAGACAAGAATACTATTTGAATTCTTACCAGCTAACCTTACAATCCCATTCCTCTAGCATTCGTAGGGGAAGCTCTTCCCTTCTATTGAAAATCTGAAGATTTTCTTGAGGTAAGCACATCTTTTTCCCTTCAGATGTAGAACTTTTTAGCTTTTTTTTTTTTTTTTTTTTTTTTTTGACACATTATGAGGTGAAATTTTAGTACCTTTTAGCTGTGATTAGACTAGGGTTCAATACCATGCTGTATGTGGTGGTAGTACTAGACCCTAATGCTTCCACTTGGCATTTGACTGACCAACCATCATCACTACAGCCGCCAGATGGATGTTCTAGTCCCACCTGTCCGTAACCATTCTCAGTGCAGTAAATACTGAAAAAGATAAGCCATGAAATGAAACAAGGATTGGAAACAGATTTGCAGATGAATGCTGCCTCTTTAATCATTGGTACATATGGGTGTAGAGAAACAGTCTACATCTCTAACAGGTACATGAACAGCTGAGTGTTTTTTGTATGAAAAAGATAATCTTCCTTAGACCCCCAAAATGCTTTGAGCAGAGGATGGTTGGGCAGGAATGTGCTGAACATACTCACTTGTCAAGATCTACAAGTTAGATGGAAAGGGAAATACATGTACCTAACTAGCTCAATGTTTTCAAGTCTGAGGCAGTTTTGGGCACACCAAGCAGACCTTTAGGATCCAGAAGAACATTTGTGGATATTAATCAACTCCAGGATGAGACCACAGTTGAACAAAGGTCTTAAGAAACTCAGGGTTGGAGTAGTGGCACTAAATTGGTCCATTATAGACCTGAAATGTCTAAGTTCACCATAGGCACCTAGTACAGAAAAAGCAATGGTTTGCTTACATGGACAAGTGTGGACAGACTCAAGCTCCTCTGAGACACTTTGGACAGGAGCCATGTTGCTCTGATGGTATGACATTATGTTTAAGCTAATAAACCCAGCCTGTATGTACAAGGCTTCCCAAGTCAAGCATAGCACACTGCTAGCACCGCTCTCAATCTTTCAAGCTTCCTTCAAGCAGAAATTGAGGATCCACTTTTTCATGTCCATGGAGACGGGTTTAAATGACTTCCCAGAAAGCACACAGCAGTTGTCAGTAGAACAACGATTTATTCTTGTTTTTGAGACTAAGAAAGAGTTTTGCATAGGACAAAATGGAAAGGACTGTTTAAAATGTATTGGTCTTAATCTAATAATTTAATCACTTGATTCCTTTTCTCTTTACTTTCCTTCCTAGGTTAGGATTTACTCAATCTACATAAGTTACAGGGAGCCGAGGAGATCACAGTTTCTGTTAATTTCAATTTAAAATTTGTTTATTTTTAAGGCACATAATCAGGCACCTAGAAGGCAATAGAAAACACACTTCATATTAAAATGACATTATGTTGAAATGGTATTGGTTGTGTAGACAAACCTTCAGCAAGATTCTTTGACCCATGCTTAAGATCAGACAGGACAGGCCATGTCAGGTGAGAACAACATTCAGACACATCAAAAGGCTCCAGTCACAGTCAATTTTATTCACAAAAATAAGTGCAGTGGTTTGTGTCTTGCAATGCAGAAAACTTACTCACATTTCTGCTTCCTCTGCCTTTAACAATGCTTAGGCCAAATAAGCACATGTAGCACTTTTTCATTCGCGTTTTATTTCCTAGTATGCATAATCTTTTTTATCATGCATTTCTCAAAGGTCAATAACTTAAGCATTTACCTCATGGCATTTTCCCAGTTTGACATCAGTACACCATAATAATGATGTGCAAACACTCTTTTACAAGCCTTTCACAGGATACCACATATTATATCATGGAATGAATGAAGCAAGTGATGACAATTAGTTAAGTAATGCAAGAATATCTGCCGTAACTTGCACTTCAAGCATAATCAGAGGTGGAAAAGGCCAGTAGTATGAGGTCACCTCACAGGATAAGAATGCTCGTAGTATGCTAATTGCAACGTATTTCCTATAGATGCAACACGAATTCAGCTGAATAGTGTCTGATTGCATGGCAAACATTGCTGTCTTTGTAAATTCTCACAACTTTGCCTCACATTGAACCATCTATTCACACGTGATGTAATAGGTGTTCTCAGAAATTAGATACCTATTCTTTCCTTGAGGTAGAAAGATGAGTAACTTTCCATGAATCAAACTGATGAGAACATTCACTTAAGGAAAAGCATTGTCTGTATACCACAGGTTTATTAAAAAAAAAATTAAAAAATATATCCATTTTACACTTACCCATAGCAATTCAACAGACAGTACTCCTTCTTTGTTGGCAGTGGTCCAAAATGTCAAAAAGGACAGGGAAATGTGCTGAAAAAAATCTCAAGGTTATGAACAGTTCTTATCACTGAGGACACAATTGCTTGTAGTTGTAAATGACTCAAAGCGGATGTTGGGCAAGGACTTTTTATGAAATCTGGAGAACAGCACCCCTTTCTATAACACTCAGTCCCAGGGATCATTCTTAAAACAACAACAAAAATACCTTTTGCATATATATTTTAAAACAAAAACCACCACCAACAAAAAACTATCTCAACACCCAATAGATGTAGTAGAAGTAGAAGAACCAAACCAAATGTCTCAAGGGAAGAAAGATGGTTAGAACCCTTGACAGGTTAACCTCCAAGCCCAGGCTCTAGTGTTATGATGACAACTTCATTTCATGGTCCTTCTGGGATGTACTGGGATAACTCAATGAGAAGTGCCACACAAAAACCTATGCATAAAAAGTATAGCTGACAAAGAATATAAGGGATGATTGGGACCCGTCCCACTCTGAGTGTTCTAGCATTTCTCTGGCTAGTACCAAGAGTGTAACTGACTTTGCATCTCAAGGTACACCTCCACAGTGAATGTGTCAAACAAAGTCTTACAGCTTAATTCTCACTGCCTGGGCCTGTAGATGATATTTTCAAGGAAAATATTGAGAATATTTCCCACAAAGAAAAACAAAATCATAGTGTCTTCTGACATTGTTTTGTCATTGCTTTAAATATTTTCTATTCCATCTTTTTCCAAATTTAAATTAGATTATCAGCAAGTCACTTACTGTTTCTGACATCATTTAAAAGAAAATAACTTCATCAACTTTTTTTTTTTTTTTTTTTATTTCTGAGGCAACTGTACCATCACATTATAGATGAAAATAGATGAAAATATTTTAGGTAAAGTTACATACACTGGTTAAAATTGATTGAAGACCTATCTGTCTTGCTAGTCTCATAAATAGAATGTTCAAAGTTCTTAATATAAATGGTTCACACAATTAAATGTTTCACACCATGTAACTTAGAAGTGTATGTCTAAGTACTATATATATGTATGTATATATGGTGCGCATATATACCTGTATATAAGTAATATAACTGTATATACATACTGTATACATACCCTATTTATATACACACGCCTGTAGGGTACACCCACACATATATAGGCTATAGTTTTCTTCTCCTTTATTTTGATTTTCAATTACAGATTTCCTAACAGAAAAAATGTGAAAATGTGAAACTCAAGCTTGCAATCTGTTTGAACTCCAAAATATGAAAGTTGTTACGTGTTATGCTACTTAAATGGATATCACTAAATTAAATGGATATCACTAACTTAAGAGACATAGAGGTATAATGGCAAAAAGAAATGAATTCTCTCAAACAGCCATTGAAAATCACAGGTTCAGGGAAAATTACACTTAAAAAAGATACATTATTTCAGTGGTCACAAACACATACACATACACACACACATACACAAACACAAGAACATACGTGATAGAAGCTATATGTATACCAACCACTATTAACATGTAAGTATTATCAGGCCCTCATTAAATCATTTCAAAAATACTTAGCTGGTATTTTAATGAAGACTTTTTTTTCTTTTTACTCTTCTTCAGTATAAGTGGATGTCCTTGAGGAGGCTGCTGGTATCAGCTCTCTGTGAGTGACATACAGAGAAAAAGAGAGAGAAATGCCTCTTCAGAAATGAGGCAGCAGAATTTTCAGCTTCTACCTGGAGGTGAGAGAGCTAACCAGCCATGGCACAGTGGCGGCTCAGAGCCTTTTCTCCAGTGGAGGAGAGGTAAGGCAAGAAAGGTGTGGGTGAACAGTAGCAGCAGCATCCTGAAGTGTCAATTCCAAAATGTATATCTAATGGAGGCATTTCTGTTGACGGGGATGGGGTTACACACTGCTGTCCTCTGAGCATGCATGTTCTGCCAGAAGGACAATAGTAGCACTGTTCCTCTGCAGACTGGAAATCTTTCTGTACAAATAGTGAATAATACTTTCATTATATTCCCTGCCAGTGCTTCTGAGAAAACCATGGCATCCCACTTTACTCAGTAATATCACATGGACAGCAGCCTCCTCAAAATTAGATTCGCTCAGCATGCTGCTGTTTGCCCATATGTGGTGAATGCATGAACCAGATATGGAGACAATTTGCAAAAATCTTGATTTTTTTTTTCCTAATTTTAAAGAACAGATTTAATGCTGAAAGCCAACCTGTCCTAGCCTAACAAGAAAATTCCTTTCAAAGTGAACAAACTGTCATTACTGAAAGCAAATTCTGTGCTGATGTCCATCACGGAGGTCTGTGTATCCCATTTGCTTTATTTTGAAGAAAACCCTTTCAACAGCGTCTAACACTAGCAAATCTACCAAAATTCAGGTTATCTTCTCTCTGAAATTATCCTCTCATTGTCTCTCTATTCTTTTGTGAAATTCTTCATGCTCTAGATGAGCCTTAGATGTTTTTGGGAGAAGAAATCAGCAAAGTCTGGATGACTCTCAATTTTATGAATCAGCCTGGCAAATTAATGGGAACAGCATTTTGTTTTTGATTGAATTAGAAATAACCATGGCAACAAGATGTCTCAAAATGTTTTTGTTTTTCTTAATGAAGAAAGAAGCAAAACACTACAAGTCAATCCAGTTAATTTGCTTGACCTGAAATAAAATGATTCATTTTAGGTTTGATCTCATAAAACTTTTTATCCATTTATTCCTCTTCAAAATTTACAATATGAAAAAAAATATAGAAAAGGAAACTTACAGTATCTCAAGATATTAATTGTATACATTACATTGTTTTCAAAATGAAAAAAAGAGGAATTTTGATGTACGATATTTGACCCAAATTTAAAAGCACATTTTGTCTTATTAAAATTAGTCTACTCAGCCTATATAGAAATGAAATGAAATAGTACTTCAACTCCTAAGTTCTTCGGGTGATTTAAGAAAATGAGCTCAAGAGGCAATGAGAACATTTTTCTGGCTGTATTTTAGGATCTAACCTTTAGCAAACTTTTACTGAAATGCCAGTGCTCTTGTCTCGACAATACTCCATTTGAATGAAGTTATTCCAGCTTTATACCACTACACTTTGAAGAGAGTAAGGCCTCAGAAATTGAAATCTGTACTGTGGATTTCTGTGACTAGTTTAGAGTTGGCAAACTGCAATCCGTTTTTATAATATAAACAAAACATGGGTGCTTGGGATTAAAACTGGATTATATTCTCTATTCTGTCTGCATTTGTAAACAGCAGGCATTTTGAAAATGGTTATCAGGAAAAAAGATTGTGTTTCTTTCTTGGGGGAAAAATACAAAGATGCAAAGACATTCAGGGCAAGACAACAGGTTGTCCTGTGGATTACAAATGTAAAAATAAATAAATAAATAAATAAGCTATTTTACAAAGAAAAACATGCTTTACAGAATGTCTTTCCGGAACATAAGGTTTATGTGTGAAAATGTGGCCCATGCATCCAAATGTACTTGTGGTATCCTGTCTGGTATCACCAGCAACAATGGCGAGATGCTCTACTAATGAAACGAGCAGAGCTTTTGAACAGTGCTGTATTTCCTCTATCTCCTGACTGTTTCTAGGCGGGATTGAGCCCATCTGCCTGTATATCCTGGATGCCCTGCAGCATGCTGGCGCTGGTGACAGCAGCAACATCCACCACACCAACCTGGTGGCAGAGGGACATGACCACAGACCTCCTTCCTCCTTCTTGAACCTGGTGCCAGCCAGGTCCTCCGCAGTTGCTGTAGCTGATTTCACCAAGCCATTAATGCTGCAGGCAGGTGCTCAAGACATGCCTCTTGTGGAAGGAGTGGGAATATGATATGTCCAGATCAGCAATCTTAGCTCATCAAGGGAAATGAGGGCCTATTAACAGAAGTCTTGGTGATGACACTTGCTGTAAAACCCATGTGCACTTGTTCATGTTATGAAATGTGTCTCATCAGATCAAATAAACCCAAACAGAGCTATGTGTCAATTCACTTCTACCCTTTGTGTCACAAAGTGAGCTGTAGCCATTTCCAACACAAGACAGAGGGAAAAAAAGATTTCCTGTTTACTCTATGCTGTGTGTGTTTGGATAGGTAAAGAGGAAAATACATTATTTATTTATTTATTTATTTATTTTCATGGATAGTTACACCACAAAGCATTACAGAAGACTTGTACTTTCCAGCAAACAACATTTTAAAACACAAACCCACTGAAACCCAGGCTTTCAATGGAGTTATTGTTTATTGACAGAACCATTTGAATGTCTGGACTGCTGGTCATTTAAGTGTGACCTTCCATGATTAATTCACTAAGAACAATGCTTGTACAGGCATTTCTATTCAGCTAGCTTAAATGCCTCTTTCAATACATTCCTACAGACTTGGTCAAATAGCTGCTGTTATCAGTATGTATTTGCTAAATTTTAATAAAAACTGGAATGATCCATTATATTTCTTTCCAAATACACTGGATGTAAGCATGGCGGGTTTTCTTTCACTGTTTAACCATCACAGTGTGGTTGCTATGGATTAGAAATCTTCCCATTTATAGGATGGGAGCTTAATAGCAACCTACACTGTGGATTTACTGGCTCTAGTGAGGTTAATTTTTTAAATTACTTTAATCTGTTGGATTTTTGAATCTTTTCTGGATGATATTGTTAAATCTATAACAGCTGGTGCTAAAAATAAATAAATAAATCTACTGTTTCCAGATGACCAGAAGGCAAAAAATGTTGGTGGTCCTTTCCTTTCAGTCCTACAAGGAAATAAAAAGAATTTTTATTTCTATTTAAATGGTTAGGAGGGGGTTTTCATCCATGAAATACACTCATTATGCATTTTTGGACAAGGTTGTAAGGGAGTGATGTTTCTATTAGCATTTGGGGGCTATTTAAAAATCTGGTTCATTACAACTATCTTTAAAATACGTGCTTGAGAACTTTTAAACGTTTATTATTGACCAAAATGACTGCACCATAATAACAGAGAACACTTTTCCTCATGCAAATTTGCACCCTGTGGACAGTGTAGCATGAAACTAAACTATCCAGATTCTGTGTAATAGGAAGATATTTAAGAGCATGGTTTCCAGACCACCAGACTACCTCAGTCTTAGAGCTATTGCTGTTCAGGCTCAAATATTACTGGGGAGGAAGAGGAAAGAAAGGAAGGAAAGAAGAAAGGGAGGGAGGGAGGGAAGGAGAGAGGGAGGGAGGGAGTAAGGAAGGAAGGAAGGAAAAAAGGAAGGAAGGGAGGGAGGGAGGGAGGGAGGGAGGGAGATGCCAGATGTGCATAGTTACTTGTAACACCAAGGAGTTCTATGACACTATTCACTGGGAACAAACGATGATAAATACAGCTACCTGGAATTCTCCAGAGCTGTAGATATGGGCTGGGAAAAGTTTCCAAAAAAGTTGGGAATTGACTCAGTCCTGAATACACTCTCTGAATACATGAGTAGAGAAAACTCAGTTTATGTACTTTGAAATCAGTTTATTTCAGATGGCGATGAATTTCTCCTCCTCGCTACAGAAGTGTGACTTAATTTTATAGAAATGTGTGAATTTGTGGTGAGGGATCCTGTCACCCAAATCAAAGCCTAACAGCTTATCTTTGTCCTGATTTTTATGGTATTTAGATTGGTTTAGAACCCATATTTGCAACACATATGCTCTCACCCTTAAGTTGCAACCACTGCTTTTTGTTTTAATGTCATCTTAATTCCCAGTCACTGAATAAATTTGTGGATGCAGATGTGTGCTGTGCACACAAAAAATGTTTTTCATATTTTTTTTGAAGCACACTGGGAAGACCAGTGTGAAGATCACTTCATTCCTGGGCAGTGGGGTCAGGCTGTTCCAGAAACAAAACCTCCTGCTAGAAGTATACGGGTCTTTTGAAGCAGCAATGAAAAAAAAAAAGATGCAAAGATGCATTCTGGAAGGCTTAGTCGCTATCTGCACTTCTGTTTCGGCTGATGGAATCTAAGCTACAATGTAGTCAGAGAAACTAGAGAAGACAGACGACAAGCACACTGAAATGTCTTGAAATAAATGGTGAGATGCTATGGCCACTGTGGCTGGCCTTAAAATTATAACACTTAACAAAAGGCTTTGAAATACAGGGAAGCTATTCTATTCTTTTGTGAGAAGGTAGTGTACCTTTTTCATTCTCTAATTGCTTTCCATATAATATGTCTGGTTGTCTCTCTTAATCATGCCCAATTTTGGTTCATTTTTGCATCCTGCACTGAAAGCAGAACAAACAAAAAATCCATTGGAGTTTTTCATTTATCCTATGGGGTCAGATATTTACAGCTCATTGCTGAAGATGTAGAGTGCTGATCAGCCTAGATGTATTACAAAGAAGTTTTAAAACCTTCTAAAGGGTGAAAGTATCAAATTAGATAATTTTATTTTAACATGAGGCATTTTTTTCTGCTGCCACTAGACCTTCTTCATACTTTCATAGAACAAGACTACTCTCTGAATTCTGAAGTAAAATTGTGTTTTTGCTGTGGCAAGCTTTTTTTTTTTTTCTTTTTCTTTTTTTTATATGTGCCAAGAGAAACACTGCATTAGACCAAATAACTCAACAATGTTTGGAAAAAGATATAACCACTAAGACCTCTTGTTATGAAAATTCATTTCATTAAAAGTGGTTAGGAAGCAAAACTCAAGATAAAAGGAGGATTTTATGAACCCTTCTCTGAAAGCATGTTAATCCCTAATAAGATAAAGTATGGTACAGAGTATGCCACTGGTTTGACCTGTGGTAACTCCTTTGAAATTATACAAGGAATTTCTCATCTTTAACCTGTAATCCCTCCTTTTATTTATAGGTTGAGTTCAGACTCTTTATTGTGTTCCTCCTCACTCTATATTCTCCAGAAGTCCATGGGGCATAGAGTAAGACAAATCAGCAAACTAACATAGTATTAGTGGGATTTTTCATGAGGAACTGATACAGGGACTATGACTCAGTTTGCAGAAACAGGTGTGTTTGTTGAATGGCTGACTCACCGCTAATAAATCCACCAGAACCTGCTTTATAGAAAAGGATAAATCAAGAAGAGCCCAGTATACTTTGCACTGGTGCTGTCTTATTTGAATATTGTGTGCAGTTCTGGGCTTTACAATATAAAAAAGATGTTGAGATACTTGAAAGCATCCAGAAGAGGGCAACACAGATTGGTAAAAGGGCTGGAAGGCATGTCCTGTTAAGGAGAGGCTGAGGATACTCGGTTTGTCCAATCTGAAGAAGAACAGGCCAAGAGGCGAATTTATGGTTTCTAGAAACTCCTTGAGGAGGGGAAGGGCAGAAGGAGGAGCTGGTGGGGCATGACAGGACACATGGGAATGGCAAAGAGCTGCAGCAGGGTAGGTTCTGACTGAATATTTGGAAACATTTCTTTACCATGAGGGTGGTCAAACACTGGAACAGGCTTCCTGGTGAGGTGGTTGGTGCCCCATGCCTGTCAGTGTTCAAGAGGCATTTGGGTAATGCCCTCAAAAACATGCCTTAACTTTTGGTTAGCCCTGAAGTGGTCAGGCAGATGGAGTTGATGATCTCTATAGGGCCCTTCCAACTATTCTATTCTATTCTATTCTATTCTATTCTATTCTATTCTATTCTATTCTATTCTATTCTATTCTATTCTATTCTATTCTATTCTATTCTATTCTATTCTATTCTATTCTATTCTATTCTATTCTATTCTATTCTATTCTATTCTATTCTATTCTATTCTATTCTATTCTATTCTATTCTATTCTATTCTATTCTATTCTATCCTATTCTATCCTATTTTCTATTCTATGCCATGCCATGCCATGCCATGCCATGCCACGTTATGCCATTCCCATTCCCATTCCCATTCCCATTCCCATTCCCATTCCCATTCCCATTCCCATTCCCATTCCCTTTCCATTCCAGTGGCAAGAGACACAGCCTTCCCCAGTAGAGTATGATAGGATTTCCTATGCACCCAAATTTCCACAGCACTTCAGTATTCCTATTTCTGACCACAACTGTGTCATGAGATCCTGCTCCCAAGTACACAAAGACAATGATGAAAGTATGAACTGTATTTGAACTGGACCTAAATAAACGTTTCACCTCTGGAGAATGAGTGAATGAAAATTAATTTACATACACACCCATCTAAGGCAAGACTAGCAGAAGGATTATCTGTGGGAATCCTCAGGTGTCATGACAGGGGCCTGGCTGGCTACTCTGATGATTTTCATGTCTATTAAATGTGCACAAAAGGATATGTCCTCCCTCTTCCTACTGTGTGGGGAAGGGGTAATCTCTGATTGCACCCTGCAAACTGCTATCAGAGCAGTTTGAAGCATGCAGGCTTTCCTTCTCTTGCAGCATCTGTTTCATCTGTAGCTAAGATCTAACAGATTCCACGCTGAAGTGGTTTCACCTCCTTTGCAGGTCACGACTCAGTCCTCAATCCTTAGTAAGCTAGTGACAGTACTGCTACAGTACTACTATAGCACTAATGGTGAAAATTGATGATTCCAAAATGAATCTTTCCTTATAATAAAGGCAGTAATAGTCAGTAATTTGTCCCAGACACCTACCAGTTGATCTAGATTGTTCCTTTTCATTTTAGCCATGCATAGATGAGTAGATATCTCATTCCACTTCATTAGCTGTATTTCTCTTTGTTTCCTCTTTTTCTGTATTCCATATATGTTTCTGTGTATTTCTGCCTGTATTGATGGTGTAGTTGTAAATATGGATTTGAATTGTTCCTCTTTGCCTAGTCAAGACAGTTTTTCTCTAGGCAAAATCTGATGAGAAGCTCACATAATGGGCTTGCTTCTTTCTTGCATCAGTCTTCTAGATGACAGTCAGTGGTTACCAAAGAGTAAGAACAGAATCACAATATTGTAGCCTTGCTTATACATGATTTTTACCATATTTAGCACATATAAGGCTTAAGACGTAACCCTCCTGAGATAAATTTGAGACACAGAAGATATGGAACCAGTTGCTATTGAAGGAGAAGAAGCTTTGTGTTTTTATATATCAAGTATTCTTTTTTATGTTCATTTATTGACCCTGCCCATAAGCTAAAAAGTGA